TTAGTGGAAGCAACGGAGACGCGACGCGAGTCATTCTTGTTGGCGCTTCCCCCTCTTAACAAGACGCGATTCCCTCTTAGTGGAAGCAACGGAGAGGGGAGGCGAGTCGGTCTTCCCCCCCCCTCAGCGGAGGCGCGTAGTAGTGGAGGCGCGTAGGCTCAACGTCGATGAGTCACTTGAGGTGCAAAGAAGAAAGAAGCTGGTCTTAGTCAGTTGAATGGAAAGAGCGAAGTGACAGAAAGGAGTCGAAAAGAGGAAATTGGGAGGTGTGAGTGAATCAAGAGTGAAATTTATCACGTGAAAATAACACGGKGAGCATTTTTCACCATGCGCGAAGCACTTTTTTTTCTCTTCGATTCCTCTCTCCACCAGCGCAAAATTCAAAAAAACACAAGAAACAGCATGCGCCCGAATAACTGCCCGTGCAGTATTTGGCTCCTTTAGTGACCCACTATGACTGCATAAGAACATTCTCAATGAGTACGATAAGTATACCATATTAAAGCTCTCACTCTCAGCTTTCTATAGCCACCAGTCCCGTAGTTAAATGACCGGTAGAACCCTTTCAACCGGTAAAATGAAAATCATATGCCAAAATCAGGTCTCTTTAAGTAGTTACACCAAGTACGTCAGACATATTGACTATATTCAATCTACATGAATGAATAACTGTATAATACATCTGTTAAGTGCAAAAAGAAGCATTCTAATCGCCCAAATAATGACCTTATTTCAGTAGTAAAGGTGCAAAAGGGACATTTATTTGGGAACGGAGGAAGTAATAACTAGTGTACGAACCATGCCGTACGTACCATTCGGCACATTCGGCTCGTACTCGTTGTGACTAAGTTTCTAGAAGTAGAAGTACATTATCAGCTCTTTCCAATAGTCTGGCCTCCTCACCATTATCTGTCGCAAAGGGTAAGGTACTATTCGGCCAGTCACATTTTCGAATTGTTGGCATGATTTATTGTAATTTATTGTAAGGTACTGTACCAGGTACAGTACCGTACCGGCCGTTACAGTACGTTCCAGCTACTGGTAGGTTTCGACGTTCCCCTTAAAACAGATCATGGCCAACGGAATCGTATTCATCCATTGCGTTGGCGGTTGATGAGCATCATGCATTGATCAAAGGATACAGTACAAGAGCAACTTACGGGGTCCCAAAGATAAAAAAATAGCTCTCGCTCCACAACGATCAACCAAAAAGTAGCAGCGACAAAATTATTCAGTACCGATACTCTGGTCCCGAACCGTCGACGAGACACGATTTCCTAAATCTTGCCGTTTGCTGACCATCGCTGGACCATTGGCAATCATGACAAAGCGGAAGCGGTGCGAATGGTGGTCACTGCTGTGTGATGAAATTGAGGCGAATAAAGGATTTGTCCATGCCGCTCTCGAGTTCGGGGAAGAGGACCGCATGTTGTCCGTCACCCAGAAAGTGTGTAAAGGTGACCTTGTGTTTCGGATTCCTGCACAAAACTTTATTACAAAAAATCGAGCCCTGTCTATGTGCCAACCCTGGTTAGAAGATATTACGAAGCAACCAAGTGACGGAAGCAGAATCAAATGGAACAATTCCGTGGCGGATCTTTCGATTGCAGTTGCGTTGGCATCATGTCAATCTCCCGAAAGTTTCCTGTACTTGCACACTCTTCCGGATTCTTCTACCTTTGATTCCTTGCCGCGGCGATGGTCCGACAAAAGCATACAAGATCTCTTAGGCGGGACATCGCTGTTGAGGCGTGTCGTAGCCGACAAAAAGGGGGTCGCACAAGACTATGATACGTTGTTGAAGAGATATCGCCAACTAGAAAACGATAATTCTTCATTCCCTTCTTTTGAAATGTTTAGCGACATGCTAGCAGTAATTACTTCGCGTGCTTTTCAAATCGGAAGCACTAACGAAGATGTTGCTTTAGTACCACTTTTGGACCTTGGCAATCACACCAGAGGGAAAGCTACGAGCAAGATGCAAAAGAAAAATGTGTCATACCAGTACAATGCTGACGAAGGAGTCTTGGTAGTAACATCGACGATTGATATTGAAGTAGGTGAATCGATCCGATTGACCTACGGAGCGAAATCCAACGCCCAGTTGCTCCTGAACTATGGTTTTTGTATACCAGAAAATCTGGAGCCAGATGGTAGTTCGAACGATGTTTTGGAGTTTCGAATCGGTCAAGACGACGAGAACAGTGGAAATTCTGGAAGAAAGACAGTTGCGCTCCGTGCAGGTCCGAAGTCATATTCTTATGGTAGTTTTGCAGCGACACTGGAAGAATATTTCAACGAAGATCAAGCAACGAGTGGTGTTCGGACCCAATGTTCAGAAGTTCCCGCCGACGATGATTTTGAATCTTTTCTAGACGAATGCGACAATTACAACGACGGTGGCGTCGAAGAAGAAGGAAATGACTTTATGGACCTCTACGGCGTTGAAAAAAATGAGTCTGAAGTACTGGATGAAAATGAAGAGGCTTCTTACACCGAAGAAATCGAAGCATTAGAGAAATTCAAGCTGGATCTGGTAAAGCTCTCGCAAGGATACAAGAATTATAAGAATGTCGATATTCCAACGCTGCTGTCTGGGAAGTCTGGATTGAACCTTCCGCAGATATATTCGACAATATTATCTCTATCCGAATTGCGTACGATTCATTTTTTCCACCGTGCAATTGAAAAGGTGCAGATTCTGATTCTTCAATGCGCTAATAATAGAGAGCAGCTCCCTCAATCGCGTTCGATCGATATAGTCACCAATCCTGCAGATCTTGTTCTGATAGACACGCAGACTGATGATCTAGCGAAGGCGTACATGGCAATCCGACATGGGGGCTTCTAAGTATCATAGGTAGGAAGCTCTTATTCTAGACTGTTTCGGATCAACAATTATCTCTATGATGTGTCCTTTACTAGACAAGAGAGTTCACCAACATGGTCATATCTGTTGGATTTGTCACGGTTTCCATGTCACGACAGCACAATAGAGACAACCTTAGTGCAGTCAATGTTGATTCATCAGTTCCTTGATGTAACCATTTTGTATAAATCCTCCAAAGCCTATTGAAAATTACACCAGAAAGATTTCCATCCCTTGCAAACTTCGCTAGATTGAAGGGTAAATCGTGAACCGCAATCTGGAAAATTTTCTTCGTCACTTCCGGCCGTAGGTCTACCCACTTCTCAACAGACGGTCCGAGAGTTTGAAGCAACGAAAGATCACCATCCGATGCAGAGCCCTGGCACCATTGAAAGACTAGAGCAGAAAGAATCTCTAGAGATACAAACCTTGCACGCGAGTCGACCATCAAAAGATTATCAAGATAAGAAACGAGTATATCTCTTTTCTTGTCGGCAGCTTCCTTCGAGCTGGCTTCAGCGATTGCACACGMAACGTGTAGCAGCGCTGGTGACAATGCACCTTCCCTGCATGCAATAACTTGCTGGCTTAACCACGCCATGGACGAAGCGACTTCTTGGTATGAATGAGAGAAAAACGAACAACGCCCATTCCGAATTAAATTCATCATTACTCGAACACGCAAAACTTCTCCAGCAAAACCAATGTCATCTGGAGTATCAAATAGTTGGTTATTGTTTTCAATCAACAAAGACTCGGGAATGAAAACAATGCAGTCAGCGTATGCATCGACAATCCTCGTGATCTGGTTTGGTGGCACATTCATCGTTTCGTTCGAAGTAGCATCGTGGATAGCAGAAAACGATTTTCGCTGCAGAAATAAGTTGATGGAATTCAGGCACTTTGGAGAGAATCTTGGAGATTTATCCTTCTCCGCTTGCTGTAGGATGAGCTTGATTGACTGCAAAAGAGATATAATCAAATTATAATTCTGATCAACTTGACTGATACAAAATTGGAAAACGTTTTCTATCACTGTCTCCACTTCCTGTGATATGAATTTCGTCAGCATTTCTCCAAATGAATCGATAAATATCTCCGCAGCCTCTGCATTACCGAGTATACTTTGAATAGACATAACGGGCATCTTACAAATCTTTAATGCCAACTTGATGAAGTCACGACCGTCAAAGACAGCTCGAGGGCGCCCACTAATTTGAGAAACTAATAATTTCATGCATGCAGTTTTAGTAGACTCTTCACCCTTGACCAAAGTTTCAACAAGCACGGAAAACTGATCTGGCAAGGCGATGGCCTCCAGACATTTCAACAATGGCACGAGGCCAATCTCGTCTTGGTTGTTGATATAGATGCGAAGAGAAGACATGAGAATTTCTGATGCAGTTCCAAAATGTGCCTCAGGGAGTTTTGTTCCACTTAAACGCTCTTCGGCGTCAATTCTGGAACTATCTTTTGATCCGTTAAAGTTCGCTAAAGAAGCCAAAAACCCACGCATGACTATCGCCATGTCAGCATTTTCTTCAGACAAAAATTGTACCAGATCAGCAATAACAGCATCATTTACATCATCCTTCAAGCACGGAGAATCTGTAATGAAAATTCCGTGTCCTAAGCAAGGAATAAATGCAATGGATGAGACGGCTATCACGATCGACATCGACCATCGGGCTCCCTCTTCTTCTGTCATTCGTATTTTTTCAATTGAATGCGAAGCGCTCTTTGATTGAAGTGTCGTTAACGCATACAAAATGTCGTGCAGCACGTTAATTCCTCGGTCAATGCCCTCTTTGAATATTTTGGAATACGCATCGATTTTTTGCTTCATTCCCTTGTCGTCCAGTATCCTGCTTTCGTGACAAGCACGAAGCACCGGGCCGACGCACAAACCGACTCCGTACCCCCATTCAAGGCTTTCGAGAAAAGAAATTATTGGAGGAAGTAATCTATCGTTACTTTTTGTAACCATGGGTAGACAGATTCCAAGAGCTATAAATAAAGCTCTGGATGTCCGTCTTTTCGATTCGTTGAATTTGATTGACTCCCCCTTCAAATCATTCAAGGATTCCGTTTCCTCAGGATTTATCATTTCATTTCTTATAGCAGTGGTCAGAATGCCGATAGCCACATTGGTTCCCTTGATGCATTTCGATAACTCATTGATGAGAAAAATAAGAATTCTTCCAGCTATTTTACTGAGATCGGTATTCGCCTTAGCGTAGATTGCTTCATTTCTACCTGAAGTCGCGCATCTTTTAGCCATGCATGCAAGTGCATAATACGCACCAAAACTTGGCAAACCACCATATCCAGTCGCAGTTTTCTCTAAAATACGAACAATTTGCAGCAACCGGTCACAATTACCTAAAGATAAATCACATATCCCAACAAAACCAAGACAAAGCTTTGCGACATCCGAATCTTCGAACATACGCGAATTGTATGCTTCCCATACTTCTTTCGAAATGTCTTGCATGTAGGAGCTAAAATCCCCATAAGGTCCAAGAACAGTTGGAATCAATATTGCAATGGATGATAGCATCATGAACATAGAATCTGAATTGTGTGAACGCCATTCTTCGATGTCATTCAATAAATTTTCAAGAGATTTTGAAATTGATCGTTGCGAAATCAGATGATTTAAAAGGCTTCGTGCAGCATTCAGCCAGGATTGAACATAAATGGTTTGAAATATGGCATCAGATGGATCACTTGTGACATCCGTTGCCAAGTCAAAAAGAAGAGATTTTGAAATTTCCTCGAAAGACGACAAAGCGCCTAGAGAAGATGCTTGACATCTTTGTTCCTCGTAAATATCCAAGACACTTTTTGGGGAAGGAAGCGCTTCTGAAAGTTTTGAACTATGACTGCTTCCTTTTCTTTTTGACTTAGGTTTTCTCTCTCTTTGACCCGCACTCTGTCGTTTTTGCCACAAAGTGGATCCCAGCGTGTCCTCTTCGAACTTCATAATTTTCGATATGAAAGTAGATAGTGTGACGGAAAAATCAGTGACAATGTCACTGTTCAAGTCTCCTTGAAAATCAGTAGAGCGAATGCGGTTGTGCCGATTCAATGTCGATAAAAATGCAATGCCATCGCTCACTAGATAGTTCAAAGCATTGTATCGCGATCCACCTGGAGTTATTCGATGCGACTTCTCATTATCCTCGCTACTGAATGCAGCAATTGCGTTCTGAACTCCCTCCTCGTCTAACCCTAGTGCTTCGAACGAGTATCTGGCAAGCGACTTCAGTACGTTTCGTTTGCACCTAAAAATTGTGGCCTTCACAGTGGGATCTGAAAAATGCTCCGATTTAAGACAGTTGTGGTTCCAAAGGCCAATCAAAGTTTCGACCGATCTAGAGGTTTGGCTAGGTATGCCGATTGCCTTGAGACAATCATCATCGTCGTCGCTACTATCGTCCTCGTCGGATTCACCGTCCCCCAGTAGTATTATTAGAGATTCTAACACTATGGGTGGCAGCTTAGATATTTCATCCAGGTTATGAACGTCGCACAATTTCTTCCTAAGAACTACAAGGACTAGCTTGAAATCTAGTTCTTGGGCGATTACCAAAAAGTGTAGAGCCTGGATCGAGAAATGGGCCACTGCTGCTTTGCCGTGATCATCCTTTTGGAGATGCATTGTGGATACTGATCGAACCCAACCAGTATCGGTAATAAATTCCTGTAACCAGCTAATGATATCAGTCGGATCGCGAATAAGGTCATCCCGAGCAAGATCTGAAGTGCTTGCAGCAATTGCGAGGCGGATCTCCAAGTTATCGTTATCGTTCCCATCATTACTATTTGAGTTCACAAGTGTATTTCCCATTGATTCAATCACTCGCTTGTATAACTTTTTATTGCCTTGACAAATCTTTGGGTAGAAACGAATGATCGAGGACCGAATGATGGCAGGAACGCCTTCACGCATGAATTCCTTGCCCAAAAGATTCCAAATCTCGCGCGCGCACTGTGGATGGCGAACAACAACGTCGGCAAGAAGTTCGATTTGTTCCATCATAAAACAGCCAACGCCTCGCACAGCAGCAGTATTTATACGATTGACAATAACTGGCAAAAAGGTTATCCCTAAATGAGGGTAGGCCAGCAAAAGCTTTCTAAGAACTGCGTATGGAGTCAGGTGATGGTCTGTGCCTTCGTTCAAGAGACCGATACCGTACAACACGAGCGATCCAGCTTGTTGAATAGGTGTAAATGCACGATTGTGATCGAACACCTCGTTGTCGTTGGGTAAAAAGTACGACATAATTGCATCCGTTGAATTCCCGTCTTCAAAGAGTTGAATCATATTCACTAGAACGGCGGTGGACCTTTCGGATGTAGTGATCTTATTTTCGGTTTGATTTGTCTGCAACAATGCATACAACAAATTTTTGGTATTTGCTGCACAGATTTCGTCTGTTGAAAATATCAATCCTAGTCCTTTTAGTATCGAGAAACAAATAGGATGGAGTAGTTGGCTGTTTTCAACGGCTAGTGCAAAGAGGCCCAAGATCTCTTTCACGTCTTCCTTTACAGGATGACAGATGCAAATGGTTGCAAGCTTCAAAGTAGACTCGAGACTCAGCATGCACTTTGATCCATATAATGCCATTAGTTTTCGGAGAGAGCTCCAAAATGGATGCATCCTTATGCGGTACGATGGCACGGCTGCAAACCACCGAAGCAAACTCTTCGACAGAATATTGTCGAACCAATCCACTATTGATCGCTGTAACTGCTTGTTATTGTCTCCCTCCAGCGATTGTGCGAGAAACACCCCTACGTCGAGGACTACAGATAGCCATCGATGTGCAAGTTCCTTGCAAGGAATCTTAAGGTGCCGCTTGTGCCCAGGAATGGACAGCAGGAACAAGTTGAGCGTTTCTGTTAGCCACTCGATGGCATCCATTAATGTATACAAAGACACGCAGTCGTCCTCTTTCGCTGTTGGCACATCTTCGACCAAGGAATAAATCTGTCTCCATATCCCTTCCATACACAACACTGATTCAACCATCGATGAATCACCGCCATCCGACCTGCCTGTCTTCGAGGACAAGACACTGCACGCCAATAGGGGGTTCAGCATGTAACGGTAGACTGTCTGGGAGCCATTAGAAGTTCTTCCCGCTTCAAATGCTACATCCGTAAAGTCTCGCAACATTGCTAAGCGTGCTGCTTGTGTTCGGAGCTTGGAATACGCCTTTGCAATCAGTCCTATGTGAGATGATGACGATGTATCGTCCAGCAACGCAAAGCTGCTATTTCTATCACTTATGAATTTCTTACAAGTATAATCTGCATATGATCGAATCATGCTCGTCAGTGGATCAAAGTGCGTTCCGACACTATCATCTTCTTCTAAGTAGCTGCTTTGTCGTTTCACTTCATTCTGTTCCGTAAGCAATATACAAGCCGGAAAAAAGGCATCCAAATCCATAAAACGTCCTTTTTCATCCGGCTGTAAGAGGTTTTCAAAAAAACCCTGGCATACAGCTGGATTGACATCTCGGTTGGCAAATAAAATAAATAGCTCTTCCTGGACCCCGTTGGATATGGTGGGAGATGTTGCCGATGCACACAGATCCAAAAAGGAACGAGCTAGGCCCTTTCCGAGGGCATAGGCTGACTCGTCGGGAGGTCGCTGTGTCCACTCTTGCCGTGTGGACAGATGGGACCAAGCATTGCGACCATTTCTACTTCCAGTATATTGGCGCTCGATTCGTTTCAATAATGTGGAAAAAACATCTTCGCTGATCACGATATTTGGCATTTTGCGCTGACAATCAACAGCGCTTTGATTGAAAATTTCGATGATTCAACTTCTGCAACCAAAGCGTAGCTATTTCCGTGGTGATAGGAGCAACCCAGCAACCAGAGGGCAAAGAGTGTGTATTTGTTGTCCAGCTCGATCGAATAGAGCAAATGCAGAAGGACGAAAGGGTTAGCACAGACGTTTCGTTCATGGTGATGTTTTTAGTGGTACACAAGGCACATGCGCTGAAATTACATATTTCCCCCCATTTTTGAAATTTGGAATCCAATATAATTGCAAGCTAATCTCACAAGATTCCAGTGGCGCCAACAAAATTCAGATTTTCATGAAACCAGCAGCTGTAGCTCCAAAACTATTGAAAGCATCTCGTTGCACTCCTCTCTTATTATTTGCCTATTGATTCCTCTGAAATAGCCTCCACCACCAGCATCCTCACCATTTGGCTATACTACTAGTACTAGATTCCTCCTCCCTCACAGCAAAATGTTCCCCCACCAGTTGGTTTTAATTGCATGGGCAGCTTCCCTTGAACAACATGAGCAGGAGGAGGAGTAGACGTGTCATTGACTAATGCTTGAGAACAGGCGCTGAAGGGACAGAAGACGGACACCCAGAATAGTAGCACGAATGAAAGTGAAGAATGAATCACAATCCATCCATTTGTTTCTTGCTACTACTAGTACTAGTACTACTACTACTAGTACTACTAGTGGTGACAACCAGGCTTGTCTTCTCAACTGCTGTGGTGTAGACCATCCATCAGTCTTTGGGCATCTCTTTTCCCTCTTTAAGCCAGTTTACCATAGATATACTGTGGACAGATACACTGGTGAGTAGATAGTCAGACCTCAACTACTACTATTACTAACCAAGGAAGACGAGGGCAAACAACGCAAGGGGAAGAAGAGGGAAGTACTAACTGCAACCATTGGGTTGCCATTGGTCTTGACCAGATCAGCAGCTAGTAGGACCTTGTCTATAGTGTTTGGAATCACCTCCACTCCTCTTTACAAATGGTTGAAATTTTCCAGACAAGTCCTTCTTTTTGTGTTGCAAAATCATCCAAATACAATTACTAGACCCCCACATGACAAAGAAAAGCAATAGGAAGAAAGCATCCTACAATTAGAATCAAAAGAGTATGGGGCACAGCTGATGGCCTAAAGGTTAAGATCCAGCACTCCAACAACTGGGCTATTCAAAGCATGTACCACTTCAAGGTGTGGGAACCAGACTCATACATTAATTGCATCCTAGACATCACCCCAGCAGATGGAAGAATTCAAATGGCTGCATACAAGTGCCCTGGGATTTGGCATGACAGTACCATGGCTAATTATGGCATGATACATGACAAGATGGAAGACATATATATCATGATTGATGGAAGGGTTCTTGTTGTTGATTCTGCATTTAAGGTCAAGAAGAAAGGAGAATTGAATACCTCATGCGGAGCCAGCAAAATGACCCAGATACCTTTGCTACTATGGCAAAGAATACCCAGGCTATTCTTATTACCTGGCAAGCCATAGCCATCCACCACCAGTTGTCTTAATGGGACATGGGCATAATTCACAGACAATTCCCAAGAATGCAGTATAGGCTTACACTGGAAGAGGTCAGTGATAGGAATATCATTCTTAACCTCTTCTTCTTATTGTTGTTTTATAATTATCATTGCAGCAATGTGGGCCTTAATCAGATTGTCAACACCTTCATCTTCCCCACTCTTAGCAAGCTCATGCATCCTCCACAATAGAAGAATGTTGATAGTTGTTGTATTAATAAGTAGAGGGCTGCACACTCCAGCCAATCCCATCATCATGATGAGCACACTCCTCTTCCTCCTCTTTGGTGATGTGTTGTTTGGTTTTCTTCCTTGTATTTGTTGAATGCCTTGTGTTGTGTGTATTCTGTTCTTGTAGAGGGGAAGCAAAGATATGCTTTTTCTTTTAAGAAAAAGGAAGATCAAAATTTTCAGTTTGGCGCCAAGTGACTCCTCTCTTTAGGGCATGCCCACTCAAGAGACTGAAAGTGTTAAGTCAAGGATTCAAACATGCCAAGTCCCTTCCAACAGCAACACTCAAACTGCTGTTGTGCCAGTAGTGGTGGTGGAAGCAAGAACAAAAGAAGATCCTGGGGAAGAAAGAAATGATATTTGATATGTGGATATAGGTGAGGTATGTCACTCTTCCATAGCCTTCCTTGAGGGACTCTGATGAAGCCCAACAACTTGTAACAACAATCAGGGATACTGAATTAGGAAAGGAGAGAGCAAGGCTCCAAAAAGAATCCCTTAGTAACTAGTAATATATTGCAAGCATGACTGAAGAAGAGAGAGATGCTTGCAATATGCCTGTGGAAGTGCTGCAGCAGGGAGTTATGAGATTGGTTGCTGGTGGTCCATTACCAGTAATTCTGGGTCCAGCAGTCGCTGAAGTATACTAGTACTAGCAGCAGTTCCTGGTACTAGTTACTACTACTAGCGTCCTACTAGGGCCCAGTAGTAGAAAGCCTTTCAGTGTGTCACAGAAATCTGTTCTTGGAATCAATTTTGATTTTATTCTACCTTGTTAGCAGTGTCCTGATATCAATTTCTTTTTGCTGATTTGAATTCTCAAAAAATTGAGCAAGAAAAAGGCTAAGAAGAGCTCTAAATAGAACTCCAAATTTTGACAAAAATAGTTTTTAACAGCTAGTAGGTGAGTTTGATGTTGATGGTAAAGTCTAAAGAACCAACTACTTGAGTCAAATTAGACAACTGGGAAATGGACAGAATGCTGGCTAAATACCCGTCTTTTTGGGAATTTTGAATCTTAAATAGTTCAACACAATGACTAAAATTAAAAAGGGGGACTGGCGCAGACTTTGGTACTAAGAAGTCATTCAACATACTCAAAAAATTTCCGTGGGTTCCACCACACAAAATCTAGTCATTTTTGAATAGGGGTCTGGGATTCAATAAAAAATGAGGAACTATTATTTTGTTTGTGTAGAAGAAGCAAAGCAAATGGAACCTAACTCATCAGTGAGGAGTTTGAAGAACAAGTTGCCAGGGATTAAAAATATCTTAATATTATATTTAACCTCGTGAACTAGTAGAAGAGCCACTATATGGCCAGAACCATAGCTTTTGTTAGAAAGAATGCTTCTAGTAGCTGCTCCGAGGGGCGGCACTTCCCTCCAAGGAGTTTTGGTGGAAATGCAACCAAAAAAGTTGCCAGGGATTAGTAGTACTAGTGTGAAAATGTCAAGGAACAAGAATGATTGTTCTTGCAGAAGTTGCAGCAATGTTGCCGTATTTAAAGAGGAGCATTGTTGGAGTAACTTCAACCATCAGTGCACGAGATTACGTGTACT